CCCGCACTGGCAAGACGCCCCTTCCTTCCTGGAGCCGCCGCCCCCCCTTCCCACCCCCCCCACCCCCCCCAGAAAAAGGGACCAAGGGACCTAAGCTCCTTACTCTCTGTGGCTTCCTCCCTTCTGAGGCCTGTGGCTATTGTGCCTGACAAAGCCTGGCCTCTTGAAATTCAAATTGACCATTTAAAAGAGGGTTTTACGCAGGCAGGGAGGTGCCTTTTCTGTCCCTCTTCTCACTCCCCGAGGCCCTGCTGTTTCTTGAACCTGCCAGGCATGCTGTCACCTCAGGGTGCGGTTCCCTTGGCCTGCAGTGCTCTGTCCCCACGTATCCTTACGACTGGTGCCCTCGTCCCCTTCGGGCCTCTGCTTACATGACATCTCATCCAGCAGGTCCCCCATGACCATGCTATCGAAACTGCAAATCACACCCCAGCACCGACCCCCTTTCCGGCTGTATTTTTATCCTTTGTACTTCTGCTATCTAACACACTATACATTTGACACATTTGTTTTGTTTATTATCTCCTTTCCTAGCGTGGAAACTCCACCAGGTGAGAGTTGTTTTTTTTTTTGTTTGTTTGTTTTTCAACGTTTATTTATTTTGGGGACAGAGAGAGACGGAGCATGAACGGGGGAGGGGCAGAGAGAGAGGGAGACACAGAACCGGAAACAGGCTCTAGGCTCTGAGCCATCAGCCCAGAGCCTGACGCGGGGCTCGAACTCACAGACCGCGAGATCGTGACCTGGCTGAAGTCGGATGCTTAACCGACTGCGCCACCCAGGCGCCCCTTTTTGTTTTTTTTTTTAATGTTTATTTTTTTTTGAGAGACAGAGCGTGAGCAGGGGAGGGGCAGAGAGAGAGGGAGACATCTGAAGCAGCTCCGGGCTCTGAACTGTCAGCACAGAGCCTGCGTGGGGCTCAAACTCACAAACTGTGAGTGAGATCGTGACCTGAGCCGGACGCCCAACAGACTGAGCCACCCAAGTGCCCCTGAGGTGTTTTTTTTTTTTTTTTTTAGCTGCTCTGTTTATTTCTGTACAGCCAGCACCAGAAAGGCACTTTGCATCTAGTAGGCAGCTTACTAAATATTCGCTGATGAGTGACTTGAGGGATGGATGGAGGAAGGCAGACAGCACAGCAGAAATGATGTTCCAATTCTTTTAGAGGTTTGGCCAGAGGTGACCCAGCTCTCACCTGGCTTTTTTGCTCAGGCTGCTGAGTCTCGGAGCCGGCCTGCCATGGCGTGGGAAAGTCTAGGACATACGAGTGGCCATGCGAAGTGTTCCAGTGACCTGCCCAGCTGGGGCCCCTGCGGCAAGGCAGCCTAACAGCCACTCGGATGACCGCCCCCAGCCGTCACTCTCCCCTGGAGTCAGTTCTTCCCAGCTGAGGCCACACACATTGCAGAGCAGAGATAAGCTTCCTCACTGAGCCCTGTCCAGATTGCAGATTCATGAGCTCGACAAATTACTGTTGTTGCTTTGAGCCACTAAGTTATGGGTGGTTCATGGTGCAGTAATAGATAATTGGACGAGCTTGAGATATAAATTTGGGAGTCGTTAGCATTTAGATCATGCTACTGACTAGGTTTTTCAACCTTGGTGCCATTGTGTATTTTGGGCCAGATAACATGTTGTTATGTGGGGCTGTCCTGCGCACGGTAGGATGTTTAGAGCATCCCCGGTCTCTGTCTGCTAGGTGCCGGTAGTTACAGGTCCCACCCCAACAACTGTGACAATCAAACATGTCTCCAGGCACCACCAAATGTCCCCTGGAGCCAATACTGCTCCCAGCTTACAGCCACCGATTTAGAAGGTTTTTGAAATCAGGACACTGGATTGTATCAGTGAGGGATGGAACTTTGATAAGGGAGGAGGGGTCACAAGGCTAGCTTTGAGGACTCCTGCCTACGGGTACAAGTGGAATACACACTGGACTGGCAGTCGGGGGCAAGTGGTGCCAGGCCCCGATTTCCCTAACTCTTTAGGGGATGGACTAGATCACAGCGCTGTCCAGTTTGGGGAATGCAATGCTCCATGTTGGAGGCAGCAGGAAGGCGAGGCCTGTGGGTCGCTCCGGAGACCATGTGTTGGTTGACCGGGAACAATGTCATCGCTCCAAAGTGGGTTTGAAGCCGTGATTGAACATGGAGCGGAGAACCAGGTCCTGCTGATTAAGGGCTGCCGCTAAGACCCAGCCAAAGACGCCCAGTGAGTCATCCGAAATGGCCGGGACGGTGTCCGCTCTGTCTCTGCCTGAGAAGCGCGTGTCAGCGGGGACCCAGGTCAGAAGCCAGGTGAAGGCGGCGCCTTCCAGCCTGTCGTTCCCTCCGTTCGTGCGGGCGGCTCTCCAGAATTCCATGCAGACCACAGACCAGAAAGTGGCCAGTCCCGGAAGCAACCTTAAAAACCAAATGCACCGAGGACAAGCCCATCACTCCCTTCCCAACTTGCAACAGTCAAGACCTCACGTGACTTTCAAAGAGTAGTTAGGAATGGCAGCAGAGTCCGGAGGAGGCCATCCCACGGTCAAAGCAGCGGGTGCTCCCGCGGCCGGCTCAGCAGACCGGCATTTACTCGTCCAGTGCAGTCAGCACCTGCCATCCGAGCTCATGATCTGTCCGCGGGACAGTCCCCTTGGGAACGCCTTCTTCGGCATCTCTGTGGCCCTCACGTCCTTCTCCCTTTCTCTTCCTGAGCCTCCTTGTCTCCGTCCTCCTTCCCCTGCTTCCATCACACGCCTGCAAAGCGCCCGTCCGGCTCAGGAGCTGCCGCTGCACAGGACCCGAGTGCTCCAAGAAGTTCTCAAGGCGAGTCCTTCAGAGTCCAAGCTCCTGCAGACCAGGGCACAGGCCAGGGAGCGGGCAGCGGCCTTGTCCCACCTGCTGAACGTGGCTCCTCCCGAGGACCCCGGCCTCCCGGATCGCCTCTCATCCCTGCCCCCTGCACCCTGGGCACAGATGACTCAGAGATGCGGGACGGACAGCTGCCCAATGAGTGCAGGGCACACTGTCACAGCCAGTGCGACAGGGATGCCAGGGAAATGGTCCGTCTGATGCAGACATAAAGCAGGGGGGTTAACTGTGAGGGTTTTGCTTGCTCAAGGGACCTGGCAGGAGTTTGTGTTTAATGAGGATGGTAACCAGGTTCCGCAAAGGAGGAACTCAAAGCAGAGCACGACTTTTTCTTGTATATTCACTCACTTTCTTGTATATTCACCCAGAGCAGTGCCAGGCACTGAATCGCATCGCCCCAAAATCGCCGGTGTTGAAGCCCTAAGCTTCGATGTAAGTGTATCGGGAGATGGGGCTTTTAGGGTGGCAGTTAAGGTTAAATGAGGTCGGAGAGTGGGGCCCTGATTTGCTAGGATTGGTGGCCTTGGCAGTTAGAGACCTCTGTCTCTGTGTCTGTCTCTCCCTGCCGTATGAGGACACAGTAGGAAGGTGGCCAGGAATCAAATCTGCCGGCATCTGAAGCTGAGACTCCCAGCCTCAAAAACTGAGAAAATAGATTTCTGTCGTTTAAGCCGCTCAGTCACGCGTATGCACTACGGCAGCTGCAGACGACTAACCCACGCCCAGGAAGAGTCTGGGTGTTTGTAACGTGTTAATTCTGGAGCACCTCCAAAACCACCCAGTCCCTGAACTGAATCACTCTGGGAGAATGCGGAATCCTCACCCCTGGGGATGTGTGAATGGGGGCGGGGGCCTGTCGGTCACAGGCGGTTCTGCCCACAGGAGAATAAATGACCTCTTACGTTCCCTTGCAGACAAGCAGTTCCTGACGTTATTTCAGGATCTCTACTCATAAACAAAAAGGAAGTGACCTTGAGCTACAACATGAAGCATTTTAATTGGACAGAAAAGATATTTCCCCTTTCAGTCAGTGAGTCAGTCAGCCAAGCAGAGAAAGACACAGATAGACAGACGGTCAGAACACCCTTGAGAGACAGAACTTACAGCTATCTGAAGAGACCGCTACTAAGTCCTGGGCTCTGTTCCTGGCACACTCAGAAACAAAATGGGGCACACACCATCCCGGCCTCTCCTCCTGCCTGCTATGTAGCGGGTGTGAGAACCGCCCGATTCAGAAATCACCTCACGTGGAAACATTTTCGAAGACACGAGGTACTCCTCTTTCTGGGATACTCTAAATGGGGCCTTGCCTGCAGATAGGTGAAGGGACCACACCCCCCGGACCAGTCCCTGCGACTCTTGGATTCATCACCGCTTATTGTTGGCGCAAACTTCTTTCATCGCTTATACAGATTCACTAACAGTTTTTTAAAAATCCAAATTGTTAAGTGGTGGGAGGTTTACTCATGTCCCGCCTTCACATAAAGTGACCGACTCTCCTGTGAAAAGGGATAATGAGGGGTCACCAGGGGGCGTGGCGCACCGAGTCTCGTCAGGCTTGGGAACGCGGTTCGGGTGGCCTCTGCTCGGTCACGGGTTTGCAGTCAGTGGCACACGGGCTCCGCTTCTCAGTATCCTCTCAAACCCAGGCAGCAGCACAGACACGTCACCTCCCAGGAACACCAGTTTTTAAAAGCAAAGAAGTCAAGAGAAAAGGCGAAGGACCAGGATGGCGGCGAGGAGGCTGGCTGAGTGGCTTTGTCCCCGTGAATCACAGACGCGTCCGACTAGGTGCGGTGGAGAGCAGCCCCACGGCTCTTAGTGATGGAGGCAAACCACTGGCCTGGGTCAGCCCAGAGACTGGCACGCCGGCATCACCCTGGACCAGGAGGAGCACACTCTCCCTCCCGCTGCCACTGCCCTAGAGATTCTCCTTTCATCCCAGAAGACCAGGAAGGTCTTAATGCGATTAACACCACTCGGTGGGAGTGAGGTCAGCAGCCAGAGGTCTTGGCTTCCTAACTCAGCCCTGCCTGGTTCATCCTCTCCTTTGGGCCTCAGTGTCCTTATCTGCCCATTGGGGTAATACTGTTAGCATGTATTGATTTATAGGGATTTTACCCAGGCAGGTTGGGTAACAGAAGTGGTATTCTCTAAGGAAAAGAAAGTCTGTTGATTTTCTAGCTAATCAGCACAATCTTTGCTTATGATTGAAGTGACTCTGTTGGGCCCCCCAGAACTTTAGATGAGAGAGGAGACACATTCTCTTATCCTTGTCTCTTGTCAATTCAAGCTGCCTTTTAGGATGGCACATCTTGGGTCACCCTAGCAAGCTGGTGGTTTAATACTTCCTCTTCCTGGGGAACTTGCATTAAAAACAACAACAAGCACTTGAGGCCAAAGCTAATCTCAGAAGCAGCAGGACTTGGGTCTGGAGCTGGTCCCCCAAGGTCCATTCCCAGATCGGCCACTTACTAACCACAGGACCTTAGGATGCAACATAAGCCCTCTGAGTCTGTTTCCTCATCTGAAAATGGGAAGAAGCCTTCCATCGTGTGGAATTATGAAGATTAGAGACAGTAAGTGTAAAGCTTATGCTACAGTGCCAGGCACTCAGCGGGCACCTAATAAATGCACTGACCACTATTAATATGCCCATCCCAACTGTAGGTTTGTATGAATCTCTAATTGGCTTTTAGGTGTCACAGCCCTGAAAGGCGGTGGCTCCGGAAAGCAGAGGGCTCTTTGGGTGGCCCCAAGTCACATCTGTGACAAGAACCGGCCTGCAGCTGTCGGCATTACGGGCTGGCAATGCAGAGAGAACTCAGAGGAGAAGGGAGCTGACAGAGGGTCACAGGGCTAGTATAATTTCAGGTAAGGCCCTGACACGCCCCCCTCCCCACAAGCCCTCCTGTAAATTGTGGCGGTTAAACTACATTTTCTCAAAGGCGCCAAGGCCGATGGCTGTGCAAATCCTTGTTAAAGTGCAGATTCTGATGAGGTCTGTCTGGGGCAGGCCTGAGACCCTGCATCTCTCAGACCCTCTGGTGGTCTTCATACCAGGCTGATAGCAAGGCATTAACACTTTCTGGCTTGGAAGTTCTGCTCTGATCTAATTAGACGATTAGGAAATCAGATTCCACAGATACAGCAAGTTACCCCGGAAAAATAGGAGGAAGCAAGCGTTTCCACCAAAGAGAAGTGCCTGGCGGGGGGAGAGGGGGTTCGGATCTTTCCTCTGCTCTCCTGTGATAGCAACTGCCGGAGGCACTGGCCGTGCTTTTCTGAAGGAGGCCAGCTCTGGGGAAGGGAGCAGCTGCACCAAGCAGGTTGTTTATATGGTGCAATGAAGATGCATTATTTAACTCCTGCCAGAGGAGAGAAACGTTTTACAAACGTAGGAAATTATTCATGCCCGGCTTCGGTCTGGCTGGAACACAAGGGCTGCGTTCCATCATTTCTGCTCCCAGCGGACAAACCGCAGCCCTCCATTTTCCGGCACAACCGAGCAGTTTCCCACAGCGACCAGCAGAGGGCACTGGTGACCCACACACGCGGCCCTGGCGGTGCGGAAAAGGGTAGAGCTTCCCTGCCAGGCCGGTTTGCAAAAACGCTTGCTTCCCTGTGGACAGGTACGGGGGGACGTATGCCCACCACCCACGACAGCCTACGGCCCGGGTATGGATGTGTCCGTAGGGGCGCACTCAAGCACCGACGACAGGGAGGAAGGACAGTTTTTGGTTAGGTTTAGATTTTTATGGATTCCTAGTTGCCTCCTAAAGGGGACCCCTCAGGTGAGACCTGCAGATCCAGAATCCTGGCAGAGGCCCTAAGGTCTGACCGACTCTTTTTCCTACTAAATTCCCTTTATCGGTACTGTGACTCCAGCTCATTAGTGTTGGCCCCAAGCCATGTATCTGCTTCAGGCCTCCATGTCGTGATGAACCAGATGGGGCAGGGACGTCTACTGACAGCTCTTAACCACTTTCAGACTGCTGACAAGGAAGAAACTCGGGGGGTCAGATCACAAGGAGCACAGACCAGGGAGCTGAGTGGGACAGTTTCGGAGACTCTGCCCTCATCTTCTGAGCAGGCCTGGCCCTTCCCAAAACTGTCTCTGGGAGGTAAAAGCTATTTTGGTTTCTTGCCTCCTGGAAACTTAAAGCCTGTATTTACCACATTTTTCTTTTCTCAAAAACTAATTTAAAATTTAGCAACTATGATACAATGTTTAAGTTTTCAGGACTCACTTATAAGCCTTGATTTGAAAAGTTTACTTGTGGTGGGGGCTCCTGGGTGGCTCAGTCAGTTGAGCAGCAGACTCTCGATTTCAGCTTAGGACATGATCCCAGGGCTGTGGGACTGAACCCCACGTCGGGCTCTGCGCTGAGTGTGGAGCCTGCTTAAGATTCTTTCTCCCTGTCCCTGTCTTGTGTTCATGCTTTCTCTCTCTAAAATAAATAAAGTGGGGGTCGGGGGGAGATCCCAGCCTTAAATTAAAGACTGAATTTTTTTAAAAAATGAGAAGTTTGTGTTAAGAAAGAATGGATTCTTATCCTGACAGTGTGGCTGACACAAAGGCTTAACTGCCTCACTGTGGACCCTTCTAGAACATGAGGTGTTAAAGAGATAAAAAGTTGCAGGTAGGGTAATCAGTACAATGGCCTTTTACTATGCACCAGCCTCATGATTTGATTTGCACAACTGTAAGGGAGCTTATCAACGAGCTCTGATGAGATATTTGAAACACACTTTAACGCACTGGCACAGAATAGGGGCTTAAGAAGTATTTGCTGAGTTACTGTATGTGTACATCGAAGCAATTTATGTTCCCTGCCTGCTGTGGTATATGACTTTGTCCCCCTTCCCCCCTTTTTTTTTCCAAATTAAAAAAAGTTTTTATTTTCAGAGAGAGGGAGAGAGAGAGAGCGAAAGAGAGAGCAGGGGAGGGGCAGAGCAAGAGGGAGACACAGAATCCAAAGCAGGCTCCAGGCTCTGAGCTGTCAGCACAGAGCCCTGTGTGGGGCTTGAACTCACTAGCCGTGAGATCATAACCTGAGCCAAAGTTGGACACCCAACTGAATGAGCCACCCAGGCGCACCCCCTCTTCCCTCTTTAAGAACACATTTCCAGGGGCGCCTGGGTGGTTCAGTTGGTTAAGCACCTGACTCTTGACCTCAGCTCAGGTCAAGATCCTATGGTTGGTGGGTTCAAGTCCTGGGTCAGGCTCTGCACCGGCAGCGTGGAGCCTGTTTGGAAATCTCTCTCCCTACCTCTGCCCCTCCCCTACTCATGCACACTCTCTTTCACTCTCAAAAATCCATTAAAAAAATAAAAACCAATTTCCAGTGGAGCATGAGGATGTATTTTTTTCTAGAACAAGGAAGCCACTGGTCTACATTTGGGAGATGTGTAGTAAATATTAGTTTATCATGTAATAGGAAGGAAGAAAGCTTTGTGAAGAAAATGAACTTCACCATGGTCAGCACCAACAAAACCGCTCTTGTAACATGGCTCCTCCGGGGGCGGATCCAATACACCAAGCACACCCTCGCTGCACAAGGCATCAGAAGGGACATCGTGGCACATCCAGCCAGCTACATGCTGGGCAGAATGTTGTGACTCAAACGGTATTTATAACAAGCGAATTCTCGAACTACCCATCACACGCACGGGAGGACCGCAGCTGGAGGGGATGCCGGGAGCTACATTACCTTTCTCGGCACTGTTCTCCCCAAGGCAACCGCAGGGGTGGAGCAGAAGAGCCCAATGTTCACACCTGGAGTGGCAAAAGAGGACTTGTCGCTCGCCACGGCAATGTCACAGCTGGCAACCAGCTGACAGCCGGCGGCGGTGGCCAAGCCGTTCACCATGGCGATGACGGGGACCGGGTGGTTCTGGATCAGCATCATGACCTGAAGGAGCAGACACACCACATCATTTCCATCCAGGAGTGAGGTCCAACGTGAATGCGTGTATCACGTTATGCGACTGCACCATTTTCAGAGCATTTTCCGGATGCATCATTGTATCAGGCTCTGGAAAAAAGGGTGAAAGGCGGCGCAAAAAGTACCTTGGCATTAAATACCGACTGTGAATCAGACCGTACTATTTGGTCTTCCCGAGACCCACAGAAGGAAGAGCCCCTGTTCCACAACCAGGATGTGAAAGCTTAGGGGGAAGTAAGCGGCCAACACTGGAGATGCTCACGAGGGGCAGAGGGGTCTGAACCCGCGTCTGGCGGACCCCACGGTCCGGGTCTTCCCTCCCAGGCAGGGCGCCTCTGCGAGGCCACAGTCCCCGCTGCTCTCCCGGCAGCCCCGCTGAAGAACAGAGCAATTTTGATCTCCGGAGGGAACCGTGTCTGCGTGGAGCCCTCCTCCTGAGTCTGAAACTGGTATTTGGTACATCCTTGAAAAATTAAGGTGGAAAGGAACTGGAAGGCAATTTCCTTAGTAATTACTTCCCAAATTACCACTATGAACACTCTCTCAATTCTATTAAAGTGGTAGGGGACACCCTGCTGTCATCAAAATAAAATTCCCCAAACAGGGCCACTGGCACAGAGAGGAGCCGAAAACTTGCTCATGTGACACCCCACCCCCCATAAATCTCCAGAACTTGAACTTATTTTTGCAGCTTACAAAATAACTTGGCTTATTTCTCCATTTTTTCTTGCTGCTCTAAACAGACTGCGTTGCTATGGTGACTTCAATGTATAAATGGTCGCACTTTGAACCTTGGCAGGAAGGAGGGCAGGCGGGAAGGAAGGACCACATCTGGACTTGTTTCCCATGGCGGCATCCCAGAAAAAATGACCTTCATTGATTTGAAGATTCTGCCCAAGGAACCTAGCCTTCTGCATTCACAAACATTTGATATTTGCCACTTTTATTATAAAATAACCAATTGGATATTTAAGTATATGATATATTCTATAGTACTCGTTCTGGACTTTTTTTTGAGGGGGGAGTCACCTTTTGAGAACCTGATCAATGCTAATGATCCTCTCCTCACAAGAATGCACATATCTACATCTGCACCCCAGACTGCTCACGGTGGAGTTCGTGTGCTCTCAGTGAGGGTTAGGATGGTTGGGGATGAAACTCATTCCCAGTGAAATGCAGTAGCAAGGAGAAAAACGCGTGAGAACTTCCAATGTCTTGTGCAAAGACAGACTTTTTTTTTTGGCTGAGTGTCATCTGTCACCTAAGAACTGGTTCCTTATGAAAAGTGATTTGGCTCTGATTAGCACAGAATAGTCTGTGTCTCCTGCCTGCCATCTACGATGTGCTAAGATTTTCTACAGCCTGGTCGGAAAATACTTACAGTAGGTACCGACAGTATTAAAAATATTCATGCCTTTCATCTAGGGATTACCTCTTTTTTTTAAATGTTAATTATTTATTTTGAGAGAGAGAGAGAGAGAGAGAGAGAGAGAGAGAAAGTGAGCAGTGGAGGGACAGAGAAAGAGAGAGCAATGTCAGCACAGAGCCCGAGACAGGGCTCAAACTCACAGACTGTGAGATCATGACCTGAACCAAAATCCAGAGTTGGCGCTTAACAGATTGAGCCACCCAGGCACCCCTAGGGATTACTTCCAAGGAGTAATCCTGAAATAGGGTAAAAAGCTGTCTGGACAATGATGCTCACAAATTATTTTATAACAGTAAAAAATTAATAAATAACATAAATACACACCAATCAATAATGAAAAATGGCTATGTAAACTAAATGTCCATTGAAAGGAATGCTGTGTTCTCATTATGAGAGTTTCCACAAGACACATTAGCCTGATGGGCTGGGCCCTGTGTAGTGGTCTGGAGGCAGGCTGCTGGGGTTTGGTGCCCAGTTGACCACTTAGCCACTGTCTATCCCTCAGTCTTCGCATCTGGGGATAATAACGGGCGTAACAATAGTAGCAATATTTCATTGTATTGTATTCTATTCTATTCTAGAGTGTGTGTGAGCGGGGGGCAGGGGGGAGAAGGGGCAGAGCGAAAGAGGGAGAGAATCCCAAGCAGGTTCCATGCTCAGCATGGAGCCCAACACGGGGCTCAATCCCATGACTCCAAGATCATGACCTGAGCCAAAATCAAGAGTCAGATGCTCGACTGAGCTACCCAAGAGCCCTATAATAGTACCAATCTCAGAGAACACAAGAATTACATACATTACTATGTCTAAAGTACTCAAAACATTACCTGGCACATGGTAAGCATTCAACGATACAGTCATGTTATACAATTAGATGGTATAATTGCACGTATGTATGATTACTCAGACAAATAGGATCACATGGGAAAAGATTCAGAAGAAATATACCAAATATTAGCATTCACTCTGGGTGGTATGATTATGGTCTGGTATCAATCGTTTATTTTCCTTCCTCTCATTTTCCTAGATTTTCAAATTTTTCCATAATAAGCGTTTATTATTTTTATAATTAAAAAGTATTTTAAGTACAGTTAGAGAGCAAATTCGGGAAGGACAAAGACAAGCTAGATAATAAATCAGCTGGGATATTGAATCCCTTGGTAGTCAGGACTTGGTTATCCCTCCTAGTTTACTGTCTTGAACCAAGTATTTTTCCGGGCTGTGCCTGCTCCAAAATGTGACATAAACTTGACTCTACCTTAGCCTCACTCAATAGCACTGCCAAGGGCCCTGTGTTACTGCCCAAAAGTGAGAGGCCTTGTTCCATTGCCATTTCAGTGTGAGGATGTGATAAGGAAGAGAAGATTCTCTTCCTGGACTGGGGTTTCCACCTTCAAACTTCAACAGGAAAGACGCAGAGATAGGTGTCCGGTGAAATCTGCCAATCAGCTCCACAGAGGGTTACTTTTGGTCTCTCAGAGCCAAGCGCTCCTTCTCATTCTCGATTTCTCCTACTCCTGATTTGGAAATAATTAACTATCGGGTGGCACTTGTGCTCTGTAATGAACCTGCTGTAGTTTAGATGCTGAGCCAGTTCAGGAATCTCTGCCTTCCTCTCTAAAACCACGTCTTCTCATGCATGAACCAAACAGTGAAATATGTAGCTCACTCTGTCCCAAACTGTCTGTTGATTACATGTGGAGATTGAAACCTTGCCCAAGTTCACGATGCTCGTATTTACCCAGGACATTGTGACTTTCTTAGAAAAAGTGTTAATCAGTGCGCTTTCACTTGTATCTCCCTATGTTAGGACCAGGTCCTGCTATGCACTGTGTTCTGAAAGGTAAGCCTGAGGCATCCGTGGGTTGCAAGCTTCCACGAAATCTGGCCTTTATCCTCTGAAGGAGCCCTGGTCCCCCTGTGGCCCTTTTGCCAACCTGTTTAGATCTTAGTTCGTGAAGACACCACGGCAGAGTGATAAAAGCAGGCCCTTTAGGGGGTATGGAAGGGGTCTAGTGGTTCTCTTTGATGATTTTGTTTTAGCGAAACACACTGGATATTAGTCGAAAAATAACTTTTAAAGCACCAAGCCTGGGCGAACACAAGAGCTCGAATGTTACATAAACATCATTAATGTGAAACAAAAGACCTAAGACTTCGCTCTGGCTCACTTCTGCCTCTCTATGAAGCCTCAAATCAATTGCTTTTCTGTCTTGTCCCTCCTTGACATGAGAAAACCATAACTGGATTTCCTTGTGGCGTTCTGGAAGGGCAGGGAAAACAAATGGTGGTCGAGAAGGTACCTCTGTCTACTTCCCTGTTGCTCACCTCTGTTTTGTCTGTATGGAAGATGTCATTAAATATTTGTGGAATCATTAATGGCCAAATGAATGAACAAGTCAACGAATGCATGAAAAATTAGGTTAAGTAATCTTAGGATGGGGTTATGAAACGGTTTTGTGTCTTGCTTCTCACCTACATTTCCAGTTTCAGTTTGGCAGGAAACTTGTTTTTCCTTCTATTTCCCTCAGTGCCTTATAAGTCTTATGCACACAGTAGTGCTCAATAAATAGACATGAAATGAACAATGTATTACTTAAAGTTGGATTCTGTATTCAATTTGTTATTATCCAGGGGCCGATTTAATATATTTACAAATCATCCCAAACTTTCTGTTCCTCTTCCTCCTCTCTGTCTGCAATTCCTCTCCTTCATATGGTTAAAGAGACGTCAACGTGAAGGAGCTAATTTTCCCACTTGGAGGAGTGGATCACAAAGGTTAGTTGGAAGAAGGGTTTGAAAAGAATCTTTAAAATCGTTATGGCTGTTCCATTTACCTATATTCCCTCTTTCCCATTAACAGGGTTGTTTCAGTTTAAAATTTTTAAAAATGATACTCCTCTCAGGTTCTTCCCCTCTAAAGATGTGCATTCCCACCCTGTATCTCCTCCATAAGACATGTGTACCAGGACACACCCCATAATCCCAGAGGTGGAACCCTCCAGTGCCAGGATGTATTTTACTTTCTCTGGCATATAACAAGATCAATCGCAACCATGGTCCCTTCTTAAAAATCTAAACCAAACGGTGGCTTGGATGAAGGATTCACCAGTGACTGGTTTGCAGTGATTAGGTCTCACAGATAAAACCTCATCTGTAACTTGGAAGCCTAATTCAATCGTTCACGTAATTAACATCTCCGGGCTTGCAATGCCGACCAACCGTCCTCCTGGCTTACCTCAGAACAGGTCTGAAATACTTCGGCATGATAATCCGGGCTCTGCTCATCCGTCAGCTCCTTTAAGTCATGCCCAGAAGAAAAGACAGGCCCCTCCGCTACAAATGTTTCCAGTTGAGAAAAGAAAAAGAAGACGTAAATGGCCAGCTCTGGGACTTACTTGTCTACCGGGTAACTAGCAATAGTATGGATGCTGTGGACACTCAGAGAAAGTTAATGGCTCAATTTTGATAAGAATAATTCTATTTAGCTTGAAAAGTAACCAAGTAAGGTGAGGCATCTGTTCCTAAAGGTCTCTGGAGGGACCAGCGGAAACATGTAATTCCAGCAAGGAGAAGGCTCAGGGACCAAGGCGAGTATACGTACTCTTTCCAGATTTATCCCTCTGGTTTCACACTTTTGTTGCTGGACTCGGTCTGGCCTGAGTGTATAGACTCATATAGGCCCGTCAAATCCAGCGTGCCTCCCACGTGTCCCTGTCCTTTGCCTACAGACAATGGCCACCCACACAGGTTCGAATCCAGGAAGGGCAGAGTGTGAGGAGAACCCCCTTATTTTTATGAGGGATCTGAGGACGTGGTTTTATTGTTACTGTTGTCATTAGCAACAATGGTGACGTGTAATCTCACTGATAAGCTGCTAACACTTTCTTATATTTTCCTTTTGCTGTGGCTGCTGGGACAGACGACATTATTCCCTTTAAACAAGTGAAAAAATTGTGTGGTTCAGAGTTTGCTGCCTTGCTGCATCCAGGTTACACCCCCATGGCTGCAGGACAATTTCCCTTCGTCGTATAAAACGTTAAAAATTTATATTCAACCACAGACAGGGAGGTAACGTTCTGAGTGTCTGCCTCCAGAAACACCAACTCTTAATTTTTAAAAAATAGTGCCTCATAGGGCATCATGTGCTTTATTTTTCTGTGGTTGCTTTAAAACGCTGGCATTGCTGTTATTTATACCACTGTCATCCTCACTAGATGATCTGGCAAAAATTCTTCCTGGAAAAAGAGCAAGGAAAGAAATGAGCACAATGTAGCATGCTTTCTGGCACCACTGAAGAAGACCACAGATCTCGGTTGAAAGCTTAGTTAAGAACCCAAAAGACAAACCAACCAAGTGCCCCAAGCAGCCTGTCCTAGCCAACTAGGTTGTCTACCGAAAGGATCAGTGATTAAACCCATCTCATCAGGTCCGTGAAGAAATCCGTTCTCTGACTTTGACGGGAAGACCAGCACAGCCAAGGATGGTGGCAGTGGTGTTTTGTATCCGACAAAAAGGAAAAGGCACACATTCTCACTGCGCGGTAATCTTTGCTATAATTCCCACGGTTGACAGTGTCCGGATCAAGGCCCCCACTGCACATGAGTTTTCCACAATCAACGTTCTTGAAAGGAGCTTCAAAAACAATCACCCCGCTAAGTGAGGGAACGCCCCAGATAACCAAAGAATTTTGAGAAACCTCTTCTGGGTACTGCAGAGCACTGAGGTTGGATATCAGATAAATACCTGAGATGATAACGACTTTGAGGTCTTTGCTGTCCGCTTCGTGAAGAAGGTCACTTTGGAGAGATTTCAGCATCGCTAATGACAGCGCGTTCCTCTTCTTTGGATCACTCAAGACAATGTTCCTGGGAAGAACGTTTTATACTTATTGGGTCGAGCATGAGTCAAAACAAATGAGGACCTCCGTGATCCCTTTCTCACCTGGGAGCTATTTTTAAAACGCCAGGTAAAAGAACCATGGGTGGCAATTGAGAGGCTCTGCCCTCTAGAGTTACAGCTAAGTCAAAACAAGGAGACCAGCTGAAATGTGGGCCGGGTTTTCTCCCTCCTTCCCTGGATCGGTCTCTCTTTTTCTCTACGTTCGCTGTCAGACCCATGACTGTCGCCGCCACAGAAAGGGCAGTTGCGACAGTTCCCAAACCACTGCCCATACTGAGAGGCGGTGAGGTTTGTGAGAAGACAGGGGTGGGCGCCAGGGGAAACTGCCACATTGTGGTGACCTTCGGCTTGTTTCTTCAAAAGAATGAGGCCGGGGAAGGAGCCCAGAACGAAAACACGGCCCCAAGTCTCCTCCCGTCCACCCCGTAGAGGAAGCAGTGCCGTTATAGCTATCGATATGCGTATGGGACAGTATTTTCCTGTTGTTTTTGTTCCTTACAGTGGCATCCTGTAATTCTGCAAAATAATTTAATGGGCAATATGTGAAGAAGAAAAGGGCAGGCGCTTGCAGCAAGAAGGCTCTTCTGCACATGTCATCCGACAAAGAACGGGCATGCAAAGGTCTTCCCGCTATTTTCAGGCATCCCACATGCTAATTATAATGAGTGGTATTGTCATCTGGCTTCCCGTACACAGAAAATGTCTCATTTTTACTGTTATAAGGACTGGGCAGGGAGCCAAGCACCAGACTATTTGTCCTGTATGTAAGACGTGATTCCCATCGGTCCCCACCTACATGTTTTCTGCCTTTCTCGTCCTTTTTTGGAATCTTATATTCCTACTGCCGTGTGTCAGCCTGGATCCTCCTGTAATAGCCTTCTGCTGCCACTGTTTTCTGGAAAACCACTTTGGTGACGGACTTTATTTCAGCGCGTTAAGAAGAACCGGTTTCTTTGGAACCCCATGCCAGCTTCGCTGCCATCTGCAGGTGCCTGTGACACTCACCCGTTCTGTTTCTCACGAACACATTCCCTCCGAAGTACCAAGGGACTTGCAGCCGATAATGCTGGTAGACTAGGACACCCACGTCTTGGGGCGTGGTAACAAGTGCTGACGAACCTTCCGGTAAAATCATGAGCGTGCTTTCTGTAGCAAAGCTAAGCGCTGCCATCCCATAGGTGACATATGCCCTAAATTAAATTCTGAGGCCTCTGGCAAAATTGTGCAGAGATGCCAGCCCCTAGATGCCCTGGCTGCGTGGCAGCATCGGTTCCTATGTGGCCCATTAACCCTTTGGCTGGCACGTCCCACGCCCTGTCAGGGTGCTCTAAACTGCTGAGTTCGCTTTTCAACCCGGTGTAACCAGGCCTCTGTTCCTGCTACTCCCCTGAAACCGTTCTCACCGAGAATCTCCCCATTGCCAGAACCGAATCCAATGGCCGTTTGGCTCATGCTCTCCTTCTGGAAGCACATCTCTTTAGTGCTTCCCTAGCCCGCCCTCCACTTCTTCGAGGGGCGCCTAGCCTTCTGCTATGCCCTAACTGATCCTCAGAGCTCCCTCCCCTGCTCTCTCCTTGTTCCATGTGCTTCCGAGTCCACTTCACCATGGCCGTGGCTTCTACTGGTACCTCTGTGCCGATGAGTCCCGATCTTTGCTCTCACTCAGACCTCCCTCCTGAGCTCCAGGTCTGCACATCCAGTCCAGGGTCTCCCGGACTGAGGTACCCTTGGGCATCTTCCTCTCTCCTCCTTTCCTGATCTCAGTGCTGCTACTCGGTTGCTCAAGCCAGAAACTGATAGCCATGCTGTTGCTTCCCTATTCAACTGGTCATCAAACCTAGTTGATAATCCCTCCTAAAAATTTTACCAGTCTGAATTCTCCCAATGGCTCTCTTGGGTCAAAACGCGTGATGCCTTGCACCTACGGCTTCACCAACGTCGCCCCTCGAAAGAGGGAGGGAATCACTAAGAGTGAGGTCACCGCCACAGCATGTGACAAAAAGTGTAATATTTGTGTGTGCAAGGCAAGTGATGGGCCCTGCAGATGCCCCCGGCAACTGTCTAGAGACCATCACATCATTGTAAACCAACAGAAGGTCCACGAGATGAGGCATGGTCATGTTCACACACAGAGGAGACACTCTACAGGTACCTGCTCACTGAATTAATGACCCCAAGTAGCACTTCGATTTCTCACAGCCAATTGCACCAAATTCCTGTAAATTTTCACCTCGCCTAGTGTTTGGCTACCTTTTTTTTTTTTTTTTTTTTTAAAGGGGGGCAGAGAGAGAGAGAGAGAGAGACTCTTAAGCAGGCTCGCACGACCTGGGGATCATGACCTGTGCCAAATTCAACAGTCAGACACTTAACCAACAGAGCCACCCAGACGCCCCTT